CGCTAAATGCTGGTGGAATAACTAATACATCGGCTTTGAATGAGAGTCGCTAGCCGGAAAGAAAAATATTTTTATAGTTTGTTGCCTTTTCTATTCAAGACTGTACAAGACATGCTGTTTTTCTCTACCTAGAGACCAATTATACATTTGAAAGTGATATATTCCCTCCTATGCGTCCTATACAGCTTCACTCACAAACCCTTGTTTATCATACATTTTGGAGAGCCCTTTATGTAGTGGATCATATAGATTAGGTTAGATTTCTATTATAGTCCTATCTGAGTCTATGATTCTGGAGGACTTCTAGAATATACTTGAAAGAGACTAATTACATTAAGTATCGCAACACTATTTTGGGATGGGGGACTATTCTCAACACCTGTCAGTGGTGTCCCCTACCAACCTCCAGCCCTCACTGTAGAGTCTGTAAAGCTGAGATTGAGTAACAAAGTCCTCACTCCGACGAGGATTCCCAATCGCTTGCGCGGTCTGTATCGTCTTCATCTCTCAACACATTCCCCTATCACCATTATCATGGAGGAGAAGCCATCCGATGAGTTTCCGGAGCGTACCCAACACCCGATACGGAGATGGCGAATTGGATCAAGTCAGCCTCGACTGTTACAAAGAAAAAAGATATAGATGATTATGCGCACCTCATTTAGTCCCGGTATCCAGGCCCCGCCTGGCTGGGGCTGCAGGTTTTTTGAGACTTTTTCCCGCGCACACAGTTTTCATTGCTACCTTTTTTTTTTTTTTTTTTTTTTGGGTAGAATGTTCCGTGGAAAAGGTGGCTGAATTCCACGGCTAAATACTGAGCTGAATGGTTATTCATTAAGGGGAATATATCAATGATCTTTGAAGTAACAAAAGAGGACAGGAGCACTGTAGAAGGTGTGGCCTGGGTCAGAGAGGAGCCCAATGTGAGAGATAGTCATAGACTCAAGTAGCACAATAAACATATACACTATTTTGGTATGTGCTTGGGTCAGGAGACAGATCGCAATTTATTGATAGTTAGTCACGTGGATTGGTGCAGCTTGGCGTGTCGCCCTTAAGGCTGACACGCCTGTATCCAAGAAATAGAAGAACAAGAATCACCTCATCAGAGAGAACCCCATTGCGTACGCGTACACGTGTATATTACCGACCGAAATTAGGCATATTTTTCTGAGATTACCCTAGATTTTATTCTTATGGATAATGAGGAGTTAGTGGATGCTATATATTACGTGATAACATGTATTCACAGTTGGTTAGCTCTACATTAATACTTTATGCTAGAGGGCAAAGACTGAACACCTGTCCACGGTGTCCTCTACGAACCTGGAAGTGAAATAACCCCCAGAGCCAAGATTCAGCCATCCCCAAACGGTCGAATCGATTTGTTCCTAACTGGAATTCCCGTCAGAAGCGATGCTGGTCTGATTGATGAAAGGAATCTTGAATTGCAGCGATTTCTCGACAACACAAACCGCGAATAAAATAATCAAGACTATTCAATACGTTATCAGGTTAAGTTGAATACCGCAACCCCCCTAGATACGCCAAAAATCCTTTCAAACCTTCCCTATCTAAAATCAAAAAAGCCACAAAACGAGCCGCAATCCTCTATACCAACACTGTTATGGGCGGAGAATCATCTAGGGACACCATACTTGGGTTGCTGTGTATAAATGCCACGTGAAGAAATCAAGTTCTGCGAGTAAAGATGGCAGACATGAGGATTCAAGATTGACAGACCTCTTGGTTAGTACGAGGCTCTGATAAATTGTAATGCTTATGTAATGTTGTTCACGTTGGAGTCCGGGCGCAAGATAAGGAATACTGTAATTATACAGACGATACCCTGTATTAATAGAAAATCAAGTTACATTTAGTCTTGAGCTCTACTATAAATATTGGTAGTTTGGAGCCACGAGACACCCGTAACCTACGCCATCACAAAGCTAAGCTTATCTCACAATTCACACATACTAATCCATCAGGAACCTCATACATGCTGGGCCATGGAAGTGGTTGAAATGAAGGACTTAAGATTGGGAGGGCATGACCTAGAATGTTGACAGAGGTAGTTAGTCCTTCCAAATTCTCATGACTTTCCGAGCCGCTGAGCAGTGACTAGGCCCCAATTCAAATTTACTGGGCTTTTTGGGGCGTTAGCACGTCGAGTAGCCCATAGAGACTGAGCTAACCGACACTTTGCCTTCGTAGTCTACTGTTGTGCGCCGGCACGACGTAAGGTAATTGAAAAAAATATCTTGCTTTTTCACCATCATGTCCTTCATTGGATACCCCCTCTTGCCAACGAAGCGATGAACAATTGCGGGTGCATGGTAGCTGGGAAGATTGAAAAAAAGCCACTAATTGGAGGGCTCTTCTAGTTCCGACATATTAATTAATTCATTTTATTGTCCTGTCTGAGTCTATGACTATGTAGGACATGCAGATCCTCTCTGCCTACAGGCCAAGGATACCTATACCAGTAGTATATCCCCTCCTATGCCTCCCATACAGCTCCCCTCGAACAGTACCACCCCTCACAAGTCCTCATTCGATCATACACTAAGAGGAGCCCTTTGCCCTTCATTATCTCCCCTCTCCAGCCTACGAAACGATGGCCATTTGCGCGTGTATGGCAGCCGGGAAAATTCGCAAAAACCACTGGGTGCGGGGCTCTCCTAATACCGAAATTAGGAATAAATCCGAAGACATATTGCCCCTTCTGAAGCGTTCGAAGAGGCCGGCCAACTGGGCGCTGCAGACTTGTGGGTACCTCGGACAATTCACACTCTGCCTTTCTAGCCTCCTTCCAACTCCTTCCCGAAGGTCGTGCTGAAATGTCAGAAAAGTCTTGACAGAGCGTGATTGCTGTATAGTAGCTTAGCCCAACTTCTTTTGTGCCGTCCAGGGTGCTGGGGAGTACCGTTGATTCATCGACAAAAGAAGCCCTCCTGGCTAATTAGCCGAAATCTTGGTCTTGGCGCCCACATAAAATCCAAGGTTGAAAACTCCTCGGAAATGTCAGTCCCAGCATGGTCTTCAGAGACTTCTTTCCCCTCTCGCTCCACATCTCAGCCGCTTGTTCTTCCTCAAGATGTATAACCCCATTAGAGCAGCAGTCCCTCATAAACCAAGACCCCAACTTTGTATTTTTCGACTTGATTTCCTCCTTGCGGGTATAAATAGCGTCGTAAATATGTAGAGAGTGATGGCCGGTAATGAATGAGGCAAGCTCCTGTTTGCAATTGGGGTGACGCCTTTATCGGTCGGCGAGGCGAGTTGATATGTGGTTAGATCGGGGTTGAGGACTCAGAAGATAATGATGAGTGCTGCATGGTTGAGAAGTCGTCAAATGGAGATATGCATGTGTTTGCTCTCGACTTCGATTCGGATGCGATTCTTCTTGGCTATCCCAGATATGCAGAGCATACTGAGCGATTACACCGGCACCACTGGAAGGTGAAGAATTCGTCTTTGCCGGCTAGTTCCGACATAAAAACCGAATCCGAAATCAAAGCTGACCGTCTATGGCGCTCGAGGAAGCAGGTAAGATGAGCGTGTAGACTTTTGTTTTTTATATTATTTTGCATCAGATTTCAATTGCGTATGCGACTATCTAGCTATGACACAATATCAAAGAAAAGTTACATAATAGATGACTCATCGTAAAGGAAGAGAACTTATGCCTCGGATTTCATTTGCAAGTACCACTGCGAAGCTATGGTGGCTTTTTCTTCTCCCCAAGTCAACCCTCATCCGTGAATACCCACCTAGGAGAATATCTCAGAAACCTTGGGTTATCCAGACTTGCCTCCATCATCCATTAACTTTTCTCTGCGCGAAATATGATCATAGGCGTCTCCTTCCCAAGTGGAGTAGGTGCCCAGGCTGCTCGAAATTTACCGGAGAACAACACAACAGCTTGATGACTGAGTACACATTTGACGGCTTAAAAACATTTAAAGATTGGTCGGAAACGAGGCAGCAGTCCAGGTCACAGAAGCTTGCTTTCTGCCTTGACGCCTCAGGCATGTATTAGTGGAGGAGCGAGCGAGCGAAATATGTTAGCTCTGACTTCACAGCATCAACAACCTCGGCTACAATGTCATCTTCATCGTCATCATCGTCGTCGCCACGCCTTCGTCATAAGTTCTACCCGCCCTTCTACGGCCGGCCGCCGACGCCGCTACCACCATCGCCGTCGCTAACATCGTTACTGCGACCCTCACGGCCCACAACGCCCGACACCTCGGACTGCGACGAGCCGCTGCCGCGGGCCTCGCCCACCGTGCCGACCTACGAATATTACGGCTTCGTGCTCTACCTTTTCTCCTCCTTATCCTTCCTCATCTACCTCCTCTGGTCCTACCTACCGTCGCCCTTCCTCCATGCCCTCGGTCTCCATTACTACCCTAACCGCTGGTGGTCCCTCGCCCTGCCTGCATTCCTCGTCATGCTCCTTCTTTATATCTACGTGGCCCTCGCCTGCTACAATACCGCTTACCTTACTTTGCCCCTAGCCAGTCTCGAGACCATTGTGGATTCTGCCGCGCATCTTGCCCTCCTTGACCGTTCTACCCGCCCAAAGAAGGAACCTGCCCTTGACGCCTGGAGAGAGGTCTGGGCATCGCCTACCGACGCCGTGATGGACATTCCCCTTGGTGGTGTTTGCGAAGTGCTCTACGGCTCACTTGCCATTGGAGACGATGAGGAAGAGCATAGCTCATGATATTATGCTTCATTTAAGCTTTTGCCTCGAATTGGAGAAGCGGCTTTATGGGTCGCTGTCACAATTTTATCATCCCCCAATCAGCGTCTTACTTGAGAATGCAGAAGAAAATGTAATTGCAAAAAAAGTCAGGATTTTAGGTTAGATACGGGTATTTGTGTTGACTCTTATTATACTACACACCTGATCTATCCAATTCTTACAGCTTATGGATAGATTATTACATGAGAAATCAGGATTTAAAATAAAAAAGATGAAAATTCTCTACTTAATCCACATGCATGTCTTTTACGTCACAGCTTAGCTCTTCAAATGCGTCTATAACCTCAAACCCCATGCCCAGTAAAATATCCCTTGCATCACAATAAACCCAGACTAGCACGCACGCATTGAACCCATAAGATATGTGTTGCCGTAGGCCTAAAAGAGTGAGCCCCTGGAGGACAATACTTGCCTGGGGGCTGCTAGAAATCACTGGACCTAGAATTCCTGCTACACCAACACCAGATGCCATACTATCTTTAGTTATCGAAGAAGCGTATTTTGCGTTCAAGGCTGGGACAAAAGTTGAAAGTTGTGATTTAGGGCGTGTAATGATAATAGTTCCAACGAGACTGCCATCAATGGGACTTTTAGCACGGACGACCCCATTCCCATCAGCTAGAGCAAGTCGATAAAGTGCGAGAGCCATGGGTCCGGCATGTTTATGTACATATTCCAAGACAGTGGCGGCACTGTCTTGCTCAAAGATGAGATCAAATACAAAACTAAACCGTTTTACGTTTTTTATTACCTCTTCGACAGGCGTCCATTGAGCCATGTTCCACAAGGCCAATGTGTATAATAATTTCTGAGTGGAGTTTTCCCAACCCTTCGTTGAAAACCAGCGTTTCGCTCTCTCGCCTTCTGTGAGGTCAGTCATGGGAACACCAGGGAAGATACAAGGTAACGATCCTCCGAGACGAAGTGTCTTGATGCCAGACTTGCTCAACAGAGTGCGAAGGGCTCTTTGGTGAAGGGAATGTCCAATAGATAGATTCCGTTTACAGGGATCTACAAAAAGTGTAGAGATGACTCCCAATTTGGACTCAGGATAGTAGAAAGTAGAGCAAAATCCAAATAATGCCCCTGTGCTGGAGTTGCAGACTACAAAATGATTTTCTTCAAAAGAATCTGCGGCATCCGGAATACTAGCCTGGTCACATTAGAGAAAATCCTACTTAGGGGACCCTTATATTTAAGACACTCACAAGTAAAAACGATGACGCCGTTGCTCCCGAAAGAGCTGACTGACAGCTTGGTTGATCTGATTGATTCACGGCCTTAATAAGAGCTTGAAGGCCATCATAGTCACGATCCCGATCCCACTTCTCTACAAGCCAGTTCTGTTTAGACTTGAGCCCTTTACGACTCTTCCGCAGGGTCCCTGGCAACGTGCCTTGAGGAATAAATTCGCGAAATAATGCCCTAACAAGAGCACTCATGGCAGCTTCAGTGAAGTCATATGTACAAATATATGTACCTATATTGGAATCCAACGCAAAATCGTAGGGCGAACTGACAGAAATTACGATGAGTGCTTTCTTTTTAGCTCCGGTAGCAACTATAGAGCACATCATGGCAATATGTTTGGTGAAGCCATTTTGGTATAAATTCCGGTTTGCATCTGCGGTTACAATAATAATAGCAGCCGCTCTGTTAATCAGATTTTCATGTACCGGACGCACACCATTCGCAGTATATGAGGTATGGAGAAGCTTTCCGTGACGGTGCCGTGCGAGAGAGCGACCAAGTTCACGAAAAACCCCCTCGCCGCTCATTATAGATGACCGGTGAAGCAACTTACTGTGTTCTCTTTGTACTGAATGGTCCGTTTCTAAAAGAGCTTTGGTTGCCGCAGAAGCTGGAAGTGGTTTGACTAGTGGCGTCAAAAGTAGCAACTCATCATCTGCTTCTAGATTATTTAAAACGGTAAGATTCTGGTCTCGGTCTCTGACAACTGTGATTGAACTGTCGTATGCCCGGGTAGAGAGTGCCAAGTGTGATGGGTGTAGGGTTGATAGGAGACTGATGCCTGGTGGGTTAAGGGCTTGATGCCAGTCTGTACATTTTGACTTCAGATAAAGAATTCGTTTAAGAGAAATCATGATTCTCTCTCGTGAGATCATACTATTTTCAATTCCAAGCTTTAGGCCAGATATTGCTTCCTGCTGTACGGCAAACGAGCGACAGAATAGAAGAAGATCGCATCCTGCTTCAACTGCCATGACGGTGCCACCTCGTACACCGATATCGTGACTTAGTGAGTCCATTTCAAGGCACTCTGAAATCGTTACTCCTGTAAATCCGAGGTCATTCCTAAGAAGATTTCCGACAACCTGGTCACTAAGACAGGCATGCATAACATTCATAGCTGTACCCTTCATTAAGTTTCTGAGACTTAGAGACTTACAGAATGCGACTCACTGTCATTCACCATTGCACAACCACCCACCATCATAGCATCGAGTCCCTCTCTAACCGAATTTCGAAACGGAACCAGTGCACTTAGACTTAATTGCTCGATAGTTTCAGTGATGATGGGCATTTCGAGAGAAGACCCTAAAAAGTCTAGATTTCCGTATGAGGGAAAGTGTTTACCGCAAGTTACTAGTCCAGCATTTTTATAACCATTCATCACAGCGATCCCATACAAAGAGACCTCATGAGGATCATCACCCGCAGCTCTAACTCCAAGCGGTTGATAACGAGCATTTGTCAAGACGTCTAGCACAGGTCCCATCATCATATTGACACCAACGGCTGATACTTCTTTTGCCGTGGCATTGGCAACTTCATAGGCTAATTCGGGGGAATTTGTGGCAGCAATGCCCATGGCGCTAGGAAACTGACATATATAGTCATCATCAAATAGACTGTTGACGCCGCCATTTTCTTGATCCAGAGCAATAAGAAGCGGCACCGGATGGCCTGAATTATGAGCAATCGTTTGAAGTTCTTGAACGAGCTTGGAAGTTTCTTGGGCGGCTACATCATTCAGTTAGTATCCTGAACGTCCTCAGAGTTGCATCATAACAGTGAAACAAACAAAGATATCATGTCCACAACTAATCGCTTTCGCTTAACTGTAGTCGATGCAGCGAATTTTGGTAAGGGGTTGAGAGTGATCGGGAGCACAAGTGAGCTTTTGCATAGTTTAAGTTTCAGAAAACTGATGGTAGACTTAAGAGTTTTAAATTAGAGAGTGAGGTTTACTTTTAAGGTTTTTGGCAGTCAACAAGATGGCGCCGAGGTGATGTACCTCTATGAGTGACTTTATTTGTGGTGTTACTTCTGTACCCTCCCAACCTTGAGTTACATCATAATTTAGCAAGTGAGCTTTCATGCAGGGAATGCTGAGTAAGACTATTCAAGTTCCCAAATATCGAACACTAGGGGATTGTTGAAGAGGCGCATACCCATAAAGAATAACTGGCCCATGGCCCTAGTTTTATTCACAAGTCAGTAAATTGAGTGGTAAATGGACAATATACTATCGCTAATGACTTCGAACTCAAGGCATACCAATCCAGATCATTCCAGAGCGGATTCAGCTCCGGATTATACATAGCCATTGATTCCATTTTCTATTGCACTTGTCAGTCATAGGTTGTTTGCTTTCGCCGGCACGTTCTTTCTAGCGAGTCGAGTTTATTTAAATTGAGATAATGACACCGCGATGGTTCAAGCCTAATTTTCCTGAATTTAATCGCTGGTTGCCAAAGACGAACGACTGCATCGATGTAGGAGCAACATTTTATGGTGCAAGAAGCAAGATGTATACTACCGCGGGACCTTACATGTGGATAATAAGGGCGACCATTTAACGAGCTAACGAAGGAGTTGCTAACACCTTGAGAGTTTCGTCTAAATATTAGTGCTGAATCTGAGCTACCCATCCATCCATCAGCGGCAAAAACTTCAGCGGATAATAAAGTTATAATATTCGCAGGTATCCTCACTTCATACGACCTCAGGAATAGACTGGACATGAAATTCTTCACAAATTAATCACTCAGTGTTTTGCTGTAGAAAATATGAAAATCCTTTGACTTCATCTTAATCCTTGCCGATGAGCATTGCCCTTACTAATATTTCCAAACTCTTTTTAGAGATAAACCGTAGACCATTGTACTTTTACTAAACCCTCTTCAGCTAATAGATCGAAATCCGACTGGAAGATTGTTTGAAACTTGTTATCGATTGATTGGAGCTCCTCTCAATGAGGGTACATCAGACTTTTATGTGTGACACTTGAGTAATAAAAATTAAGCTTCAAGGTTTTCTCTAGCTTGATTTACTTTTCTTGAAGACAAGGACTAAATACCAGTAAGCGTTGTCATATACAAGTCTGGAAGTGAAATATTTTCTCGAACAAGATCCAGTCGCGAAACAGTTTATATTCAAGAGGATTCGCCGAAATGGCGATTGGGGAGAGTGGTCTTGGCAAGTTTTTGGTCGAAAATCCGACATCCAGAGATTTCACAACTGCACAACCTAACGGATTCAATCATTTACAATTCAGATATGAGCCGCTGACACACAGTACGAGTGTCTCCAACGTCAACAGAGCCATCCAACATGTGTACATAGCACCGGTCATATGTCATAGCATGTCATAGCTAGATAGCTGCATACGCAATTAAAATCTGATGCAAAAAAAAAAAAGATATGTCATAGCTAGATTTCTGAATACACAACAAATGATTCTCTAAGAAAAAGAGCCCCAGACAAGATAAAAATTGTCTGATGTTCGTTTTCATTCAATTGAAATCCTTCTCTATTAGTAATTTCCCTAGAAGATCTTTCCAAGCTAAATATATCTTGCGACCCTCTCCAAAGCCATCTTAGTACCTACCGAAGATATTCACAATCCAGAGATCTTACTGGCTATCTAAGATACAAGAAGACATTTCTTCTGTCGCTAATTTCGTGTGCCGTGAAGAAACAGTCAAAGAACCGGTCTCACATTCGTCCATGCCTCGGCCAAGTGCATCAACTACTCGACCTGCAACGAATCACCAACAACAAAGTACATATGATTTATTGCCGGCTCATTAACCATATCACCCTACAAAAGCCAGGGCATTGTTGCCTAGGTCTCGAGCTCTTCGATCTATATTAAGCCTCCACGGTTAGGGGTACGGCTGCTAATATGCAAGGTTGGGGGGATAGGCTGTCTATAAATTTACAAAGATGGTGATATTGACAAAAGGGTTCAGGAAAGCTACAACGGAGAAATAAAAGGGTAGAAAATTCAGGAGACCTCGGTGAGTGAGTGGATGGGGCATCCAATGAAGAAAACGATCCCTGGATGAGATGAGGAGATGCTATGATGGAGCATAATTGCGAATGAGCAGAAGGGAATTGTTAGAAATTGTCAAGGGCTCGGGCACGCGGTGGCCGAGTCTGAGGAGGAAATAGCGCTTCGGCGCGTTAAAATCGGGTTCCCTAGATGGTTGGACTTGATACGTTAAACACATGGATAAAGTCTGAGGAGGTTCGGTCACCCAGATGTGATGAGGCTTGTGTACTTAATGAAAGTTAACCTGATCCAATCCAGCCTCACTCGTGCTCAAGCTCCTAAAAGTAAGCGATGGGTGTCAGTTGCCTAGGACGTAAATGTAGACAGACCCGCAACTGGCCTTCGTTTCGTAGGTTGGAGGATATAGTGAAGTGAAAACAGATACTCTAAATGAACTAGCCAACGAAGACCCATGAGGGAAGATACTGTTTCAGAGGAATTGTGAGCCAGATGGAAGATGGGATATGTCAACCGAGGAAGAATTGTATTGGCCTGTGCACGGGGATAACCTACATATTAGATATTTTTTTAAATCATATTGTATTCAGCTAGCTAGCTATGACAATCTTTGTAGACATAGTCAGGCTATAACACATGGAAAGATATGAAAATAATCATCACCTCAGTTTTAATTAAGCCGGCAAAGACGAATTCTTCACCTACCGGTGGTACCAATGTAATCGCTCAGTATGCTCTGCATATCTAGGATAGCCAAGAAGAATCGCATTCAAATCGCATCCGAATCGAAGTCGAAGTCGAAAGCAACCTCAAGCATATCAAAAATCGACGACTTCTTGACAACGTCGAACCTATCATTCTCACGCGAGTCCTCCACCTCAATCTTACCATGCCACCTCGCCTCAAATGCCGATAGTGGCGTTACTCCAATTGCAATCAGGCATTTGCCTCATCAAATCCGGCCATCTACCACTACAAAGTTACGATGCTATGTATACCCGCGAGGAGGAAATTAAGTTATAACCTACAAAGCTCGGGTCTTGGTCTATGGGGGACCGTTGCTCTGATGGGGCTTCATATCTTGAGGGAGGACAGGCAGCTGGGACGTGGGACGAACGAGTGAAGAGGTCACAAATGGGCATGCTAGGACGCACACTTTTCGAGTATTTTCGACTTCAGGGTGTCTGTGGGCGCCGAGGCAACGATTTAGGATAGTGCAACCGACACTCCAAAAATAGACAACGATAGAAGGTGCTTTGGTCCGCCTCCGGGTCGTCATCTCCCCGAATTAAAGTCTGGGTAGCCTGGACACCTACCTCACTCTAGAAAGGGAGGACTGTGAGGCCACATCTGGCGCGGCGGCTATATACAAGATGGCAAAGGCATGTTAGAGTAGCCAAAGGTTTTTCCTGTTTTCCCTTTGGTGGGTATAAACGGTTGAGGGAAGGGTGAAAGTCCCTAGCACCAAGGTCTCGAGTGGTATCAGCGAATGTATCCGCTACATGAGTAGTCCAAATGTCGAACTGAGTTATCGTCGTAAATAGTCGTCGGAGAAGCTAGTCTTCTCCGTGTCATGCTCCATGAGAGCAAGGTTTGTGCCCATCACGAATAAATATTCATTCATTCAGTTTTAATTTAGTTAGTTGTACTTTTCCCCCAATTATGAATTTGTTCAACTACTAACGGCTGTCCTAATTATCATATACATTGACATACGTATTGCTACAAAGATCCCCGATGTCTCGCTTTGCGTCACACCCCCGCTCACATCGATACGATAGTTCGGCATATATATAAATCTGAATACTCCAGCATCCCCAGGTTCTTTACACCATCAAATGACTTCACATCAGGTATAGAAAAGAGGTCTGCGGTTACGGAGAGGAGTCATGGGAACAAGGTAATGCGAGTGTAAGTCCCCATTGGTAGGATTTTGGGCCTAGTGATAGTGTTGGATTAGTGCTAACAGCCAGTCTTGTAAAATAGGGGCGATCTTGTGTTGATCCGTGACGGAGGGTCATTGGATTGTCGTGATAGGCACAGTAAGTTGAGGCTGGGTTGAGGGTTTAACTTTCAAATTTCCTACACTAAGCCAAATAGTCAGGCTCCTTAGTCCCCATGACCGATCCCGCTAACAACCAATATCCCTGGGGAAGATGCACAATTATATTTGCGGTCTGGGAAGTAATTGGATGTATCTAAGCCAATCAGTTAAAGTCTCACAGCTATGAGCCCCGAGAACTGAGACAGAAAATGACTCGCCCGTACAAATCGAATAATGTTTTCCGTGAGAGGCGGAAAATTAGAGTTATGAAAAACGGCTACAGCCCAGCAGAGTCACATCGTATAACAATTATCGTTCTTTTCACACGGAAGTTATATCTCTGGGTCGCGAAGTTTAAAATACAGTTGTGTCACCAAATTTCTCCATCGTATCAATTTATATTAGTATTTACGCACATATTATGAAGCAGTGACCGTTGGAGCTTTTTGCCAGCTTTCGAAAATCGGCTGGTGAAGTTATATCTAGGAATACATTTCCTGCTCCACATGAGAATGTTAATTCATGTTAATCAAAGCTATTACCAGCCTTATTTTGTGATTGCTCTTCCCGCGAAACGTTTAATCGCTCGGACTGCCGCCATGAACCCTGATACGCGCCTCACTCAAACATCTCGCGATACAGATAATCAGGGCAGGGGTTTTTTTCAATCTTATCAGTCAGCTCCACAGTTTCACCAGCCTAGCATTTTAGTTAGACGTCGGCTTGAGCTATTTGTCCGGTAGTCTTCACGTAAGGTATTTCAAAAGTCTAGTCTGACGTCGCTTAAACTGATGGGCGCTGTCATAATGAGATCATACTCATAAATTACTTCGTGTTGTATACCTTGTTGAACCCTTTGTGCCGTCAAATCCAAGTCTGAGGTTTGAGATGATGCCTTGACGTTGTCCCATCTACAGAAAATGTAGATGTCATTGGAAAATTTGGTCCAGATTGCTATACAATAGTCAAAAAAATGTGGCATTAAAAAGGGACAGACAGAATTTAGGCATTTGTCCGATAGCGGACGGTATATTTCGAGACTGTAGCTGACACTGTAAACACAAGCTAACGATGAAAGATGCCGTAGTCCGCCACCTAGTGATGTTCTTTGGTATAGTTTGAGTAGCTTGGGCACCTAATCCACTTAGAAAGGAGACAAGTCAATGGATATAGAGGCATATCTGGATAACTCAGGGTTTTCGCAACGTTTCCTTGGGTGGGTATTCACGGATGAGGGTTGACTTGGGTGAAGAAAAATTTACCATTACTTCGCAATGGTGCTTGCAAATGAAATCCGAAGTATGAGTGTTCCAATTTTAAACTAACTTATCTATTCTGTACTTTGTCTCTGATATTATGTCATAGCTTCATAGCCGCATACGCAATTAAAATTTAACGCAAAAAAAAGAATGATAAATTACACTTAATCATCAACTGCGCCTGTACAATAACCGTAAGACCAAAGAAAAATGTGGCTGGTCCTGTAATCATTATCTGTGGCAACAAACCTCTGGGCATTTTCAGCTCATTGACTTGCATGGAACCAAAGGATGCAGGAGGTTGGTCGTCACTTCCACGGACTACGGATTGATAACTGGCGGGAAATCTAGCTTTAGTTGACGATCCCTTAGTTGCTTGGCCGCAGTCTAGCGTGGGAAAAGATGGGGCTGGCACTGGTGAAAGCGACCATAGGCACATTTCATCTAGGGAACTCGGTAAATGATAATGAGTTAATCAATACCAGCAGCAGTACAAACAACAATTCCGGCCAACCTAATTTCCGGAATCGGCATATCCGCATCTCATGTGCCAAATTCTCACGTCACTAGGCGCGCGGGGACTTTGTCGAGAGGACGTCGATCAGATTCTCGCATGGGCTCACTAACCTCCATCGGGTGATTCGGACATCAGATTCCTACGTTCCCTGATAATCTTCCGTTTCATCCAAGTCTCACTCGTCGAGGCCGAGTCTGATTAAGTAAGCCTGAATCCGATATCTGTCAGGTTCAAGGAAGTAGTCACTCTTCTGACTAATCCTAATCTATATTTGTATTTCAGCACTGACCAGCTAAAGTCGTTTGACAAGGAATATCACACCCTTACTCGGGGCTCAGCCTAGATATCTGCCGTCATCAAGTCTGTCTCTGATACCGGGGATACCATGGGTTTCGCAGCTATAGATTGGTATGAATGTTTGAGGCGAGGAATATTAATAAATCCGAGAACAGTACGTGAATCGACGCTCATGACTTACCACTTCTTCCTTCCTTCTGTGTGGTTGTTCTTTTCGGAACCACTGACCCAGCGTGTCAACTCTTATACAATCCACCCTCCTCGAATACAAAAGCAAAGGTGTCATTCTCGCAATCTTACGACCTCCTCATATCTCTCGTTCACCATCTTTCGAAATAACTTTCAGCCTAGAGGGCATTGAATTAGTGTTGACGCTACTTGCTATACCTCTGATAACTACCTATCGTTGAAGCAGCAAAGTAAAGTTAATCAATCGACATCGCCTTAATGCGTTTTTCCGACATTTCAGTGCCAGCTACTGTCTTCCTGATTCTCAATCAAGCCTATGCTCAAACTTCAACAGATTGCAACCCGTTGCAGAAAAGTTAGTGCGACTGGAAATCTCGAGCACGTGTTCTATGATAGCTAACCTTTTCTCCAGCTTGTCCGCCAAACCCAGGTCTTGGAACCAGTGTCTTCACTGATTTTACCAAGGGCAAAAGCGATTACTGGCAGCCACTTCAAGGGACTACTATGAAATATGATGGCCCCAATGGAGCACAATTCACTATCCAGAAGTCCAGTGATGCGCCTACAATGTCACTCACGAAATTTATCATGTTTGGACATATTGACATGATAGCAAAAGCTAGTCCAGGAACTGGGATTGTCAGCAGTTTTGTACTCTTATCTAAAGATCTCGATGAAATTGACTGGGAATGGCTGGGTGGCATCAATAGCAACGTTCAAACTAACTTTTTTGGCAAGGGAGATGTATCCAGCTACGATCGGGGTACGACTGTAGCAGTCCAGACTCCAGTCGATAGCTTCCACACCTACAGTCTTGACTGGACAGCCGAACGCATCGTTTGGACGATTGATGGACAAACAGTTCGCACCTTAGCATATGCAGATGCTGTGGCTAAATCTGGAAAGAACTATCCACAAACCCCAATGGAAGTAAAGATGGGGAGTTGGATTGGTTGCCTAGACTATTCCAATCCCGAAACAAAGGGCACATGTGAATGGGCCGGTGGGCAAGCTGATCTGACCAAAGCACCATTCACTATGTCTGTCAAGAGTGTAAATGTGACCGACTATGGGTGTGGTGGAGAGTATACCTACTCGGACAATAGCGGAAGTTGGCAAAGTATTAAATCAAGCGGCGCATGCGACGGAAAAGGAACTGGACCTGGGGCCCCAAACTCCGCGGAAGCACCTGATGATTCCATTGTACCAATTGCTGGAGCTGTTGCTCCGGTCAATCCAAATAAGGCAAGTGGCCCAAGTGGAAGTCTTACCCCAGACGATGGTCCTGCTGCTAGCCCAAATACAAAAGGTACACTCTCAAAGGGTACTCCTTCAAATGGCACATCGTCGAATGGCACCACACCAAATAGCACCAATACACCAGGTACAGCAATTTCTACAGGCGTAGCTAAGCCTCCGCCGGCAGTCAGTAGCGGTGTACCAAACATAAATACAAGTGATGCCAACAAAAAATCTAAGCGCTCTTATGGGCCAATGGAGTTTACAGTAATAGCACTTGGATTAGGGCTGGGGTATTTTGTTATGTAGAGCTTTCCCACGCAAAGGTTCGGAAATATTGTTTATGGGCGTTTTTCATTCTCGGTATGGATTATTACATTACGGCGAATTCTAGGGTTAGGAAGTTAAGGAGTCTAGCTATGAAGAACAGTGATGGAACGTTGAACGTTGAGTCCTACCAACGGCGGATTTCGAAGACTGGTGAAGAGAAGGTACCAGGAGCAAACGACCTTATGAATTAACGTTGTGAAAAATTGCAAGAATAAATTAAATTGTCTAGATTTATCTCATAGTAGCTCGAATGTAGAGAAAATATATGAATATTCTAGTCTCATTACTTTGAGTCTCGTCCTGGTTACCTCCTTGGCAGCTTTTAAGGTAGGAGGTGAATGAAGGAAAAATTCTCATCAACGATCATTAATCTTAGCCCCTTCGCGGCCATTCAAGCCTTCACGATATATATGTAGTAGTAAGCCATGACAACACAAAAAATGTCTTGAATATGAGTCAAGAAACTTAGATGCACCTCAAAAAAGCTGATTCCACAGCACCACAAGTCCGTTCTCAAGGCATGAATGCTGAATCGAGATTTGTATATATTAAAGTGAATTGTTATTATGGTCGTGAACCACTTACGCGCCGAGTCAGCATGGAGATGATCTTGAGCCCTGTCATAATCTACAGTCTCTAATGGGTGGAAAATATTCATTTGTCAAAATGACTGGGGTGGGATCCCTGTAAACATGAATTTGATTGGGTTGCTTTTCATGCAGGCCCATGTCTAGTTCGTCCACCGGCTATGCAAGCAAGGGTACCATCCAACGATCTTCTGTGAAAGTCAAAATTAATGGGGATAATTTGTTTGATTTTGATTTGTGTTCATTTTCCTGATTTAGCGCCCTATGGGCCCATGCAGGTGGCTATAAACCAATCTATATATTTACATAGGAGGAAACCTCTCGGTGAAAACCCCCCAAGCTTTCTGATTTAATTCTTATAGTTTGCAGTTTGTCCTTCAGGAAGTACAGTTACACTGTAACGCCGTCGATGTGTACCAATCACGTCCCTTCTATTGATCCCAACCTTCCACATGTTCCCTCTCGTTCCCTGAGCAGCATTTCGACTGCATTTGTCAAGCGGAATTGTTCTATCCAACCATGATTAAGAATCCATCATGTGATTCTTTTCACATCGCTAGGATTGTTGGTCATTGCTTCAAAGGAGCGATTTCGGGCTTGTCTCCAGATTTCTCCTATACCAGTTGACCACTTAGGGCACGACATTTTTTTTTTTTTTATTACCATTGGTCCTAAGCTATGCTCTATATCTCCTAGGATTCAAGGACTCGGGCACGACATGATCATGTGCTTGGGATTTTGTGATTGGTAGCCACACGGATAACCTGGCTGATAAACTCCTGGTACTTTTCATCTATGTAAATAAGAATTGAGCCCGATATGCTCGCTTCGAATTTGGATTGCTAGGCTACTTTGGGCCCTCTTCAGGTTTTTGTGGAGAGAAAATGGCGATTCCCGGAAGCTTATTTTTGTACATCCAGAATGGCGGCATTGGTAGAACTTTGCTGCTGCCCAAGTTTTAGAATCTGCTGAAGCAAATCTTTAAGGCTGTCGACTTCGCTTTGTGGCCGACCAAGATTTCGCCCATTCCAGGTACGCTGCAACTCTTATCGCTTCTTTTTGTAAGTCCTTGAATTTCTCCTCTCCGCAAATCTCTTTCCAGTATGCAAGGTCTGCTCTTCTATTATGTGCTCCAATATCTTCTCTTCCTCTTCTGGGAATTAATGGAGATGGTCTTTAGCTCTAAAGGTAATATAAATTGGTCCTCATTTGAATTAAAAAATATTTTTTTGCATCAGATTTTAATTGCGTATGCAGCTATCTAGCTATGACATAATATCAGAGATGTATATAATAGATGACTCAATTTACAAGAAAAGCATTCACGCCTCGGATTTCATTTGCAAGTACCACTGCGAAGTTATGGTGGCTTTTTCTTCACCCCAAGTTAACCCACATCCATGAATATCGACTCAGGGGAACGTCTCGAAAACCGTGGATTATCCACAAATGCCTCCACCGTTTATTTACTTTTCTCTGCGCGAAATGTGATCTGAGATATCTCCTTCCTAAGTGGAGTAGGTGCCCAGGCTACTCATTCTACACTAAAAATATAAATTGATATTATCTAAAAATACACATCTTGTTGAAATTACTACGGGGTGGTTTTACGATCGATCGTAATGATTCAGTAAAGAGTTGTAAGATTCTGTGTTGGTCTGAAATGGTCATAATTGTCTTGTCTTCTACGCTATACAGGATTCACAGCTGGGGGGCAAGACTGAACACCTGTACGCGATGTCCTCTACGAACCTGGGAGTGAAATATTCTCCCAGAGCCAAGTTCAGTCAAATTTCGCAATACTGAACAAGTTGGCCCGCGAGGCAATGATTCAAAATGCTCCACCATCTCAATCTTTCACTCCCAGAGAGATCGAATTCTACCTAAGCTTCATCAAGTCTACAGGTACGACCTAGTACATCCTCATTATAATGATCACACCTCTTGTCGACTTTCTCTGGCCTCAGCCGGTCAACAATACACGCCCTCACCGATATTTATACCCGACGGAGGAAGCAAGGCGTGGAGCACATATCTTGAAGATAGCTCCTTGGGATAGACGTTAGAGTGATCAGGATAAGTTTATAAGATGATAGAGGCATGTCTGGATAACTCAGGGTTTTTGAGAAGTTCCACTGGGTGGGTATTCACGGATGAGGGTTGACTTGGGGTGAAGAAAAAGCCGCCATAACTTCACAGTGGTACTTGCAAATGAAATTCGAGGCATGAGTGCTCTTCCTTTACGTTGAATCATCTAACCTGTACTTTTCTTTGATATTGTGTCATAGCTAGATAGCGGCATACGCAATTAAAATCTGATGCAAAAAAAAGGATTCACAGCTATACTGTGGGTCCTGGCTAGCGCATCTATGCTGAGGTCCTCATGTGACACATTTACTTTTACGTCTTAGATAAACCGACATATCTATCTAATAAATAATTGCCCTGTTTTACAAAAGTCTACATCGAAGCCCTCAATATGGCTCACAAGTAAAATGCAAGAGTACCACATGTTTTGTACTAGTCTGCTCCATCCCAACGCTTTGTGTACCCTCCACTTTCCTTTATCTCCGCTATACATCTTTCGTGCATGTTAATCACTCATAACGGAGGCTTCTTCCGAGCAATGCATCTACTGTAACCTCTTTTTATAAGGGCATCAGAAAGCAATTGCTCACTGCATCCCCAGTGGCTAAAGGGCCCCATCGCTAGTTCCGAATAGCACATCTGCCGATTTTCAGGAGATTCCCGGACGATAACCTCAAGCTCATCAATTTGTTCCGCACTTAATTTTGGTGAGGGTCCCTTGCGAGGCGTAGGAGTCTCAGTCTCTCGAGCACACGTAAGTTGTACTTGCCTTATTGTGAAGCCAAGTTCGTCGGTTATATTTTGTAATGTAAAGCCAAGCCTTCTTAATGTTCTTATTTCAATACATTGATCGCTAGTTAGCTGCTTGCGAACTTTGGTTTCTGAAGCAGAATTTTCGAGAGATATTGTTTGTTAGAATAGAGGATGAATTGATAGTGATGTTTAGAATCAAGGGCTTTTTTTGTTCATCAACGTGCTGGGTATAGTGATTCCCGTTGCACTCCTACTGGAGCTTAAGCACGGGTGCGGCCGGTTTGGATCAGGTTAACAACCACTAAGTACGTCTACCTCGTCCCACCTAAATGACCGGACCACCTCAGACTTCACCCATGTGTTGAATCATATCAAGTCTGACCGTCCAGAAACCCGCTGTCGACACGCTATGGCGCAATTTCCGCCTCAGCCTCGGCCACCACGCGCCCGAGCCCTTGACACCTTCATCATCTGTAACTTTTCCCTTCGATTCATTCCCAGCTTAGGCTCATCTCAGCATCTCCTCATCTCATCCAGGGGTCATTTTCTTCACCGGAGGCTTGATACAGTCGCCCACCAAAGCCTCCTCAGTTTGTATTCCCTTTTGTTCCTACATTTAGCGAATCAAGGGCTTTGTTGGTTAGGCAGTCAAAAGTGTCGTTGAAAATGTGGTTCTTTTACCTATTGTTCTAAAAAGACGATTGGACCGCACTTCATGGCGAGCGGGGCAATGAGGAGAGACAGTCTAACCTAATACGAGTTAGCTCAACTACGCCTGCAGGGCTAACCCCTAAAACAACCTAGTTTCAAGTCAAATATTCTCCATCATAGAGGGGCTGTAGCGAATTTTAACGTGACGCTTATTGGTTCTGATTTGTTTCAGATAGGGTTGGTTTTGTGAAACAAGGCTATCTCAATAAAATATATATCTTGATATATGATCAGATTCAGGTTCATCCCAACAGTAATTATCATTTACAGGTATGGCATCGTTTTTGCTTCCATTAGAAAATTTTCTTTCATTTCTGTACAACTTCAATAGGGCTTCAAGGAGGGCAAGACTGAAAAACTGTACGCGATGTCCTATAGGAACCAGGGAGGGAAATTTTCTCCGAGAGCCAATTTCAGTCAATTTTCGCAATACTCAAGAAGTTTGCCCACGAGGAAATGATTCAAACTACTCCACCACGTCAATTTTTCACTCACAAAGGAGTCCGAATCCTATCTAAGCCCCATCAAGTCTACAAGTACGACTTAGTACATCCTCATATCTATAATTACACCTCTTGTCGACCTTCTTTGGCCTTAGCTGGTCACCAAATACACGCCCTCGCCGATATTTATACCCGACGGAGGAAGCAAAGCTCGGCGCACAAATCTGGGAGAACTTTTCTTGGGATGGGCGTGAGAGGGATCATGATGGGTGGACAAGATGATGCAAATTGTGTATCCAATCGTAGAATGTATGATATTTCTATTTTCGGGAAATAGTTTTTCAGACTGGGAACTGTGTGCCACACGAATTCGTTTGTGAGATTACAGGTGACACTT